TCCGGCGAGAACGCAGCCGACGCCGTCCACCGGTACCAACACATCGTCGACAAAATGGACGACAGTTTATTCATCCGAGTCTTACTACAACCGGTGACTCTCAACAAGACTAGGATCGTGCGGGTCACGTTCATTGGGCTTTACCTCGGGGACTCTGATGGGCTCCTCTCGATCCTCGGGGCACAATTTCCTGAACTGGGCCTCACAAGGACCGACGCGATCCAGATGCGCTGGATCGACTCGGTTCTCTTCTGGGCCAACTATGACAACACGACCTCTCCGGACGTGTTGTTGGGCCGAAGGCCTGACTCGGTCAACTTCCTTAAACGAAAATTTGACTACGTAAAAAGCCCGATACCTCTAACGGGCATACACGACCTATTCGACAAAATCGTGGAGATTGGGAAAGTCGGGCTCGTGTTCAACTCGTACGGAGGGGTCAAGAATCAGATTCCCGGGACGGCTACGCCATTCCCCCATCGGGTCGGGAATCTATTCAAGATTCAATATTCGGTCAACTGGGAAGACGAAGACGAGGAGGTTGACCGAAAGTACGTCGGTCAAATTATGGAGCTTTATAGTTATATGACTCCGTATGTTTCGAAGAATCCTAGAGAGGCGTATTTGAACTATCGGGATTTGGACATTGGCACGATCGACGATCCTATGAAGAGCTACGAGCAAGGAAGGGTGTACGGACTCAAATACTTCAAGAATAATTTCGATAGGCTGGTGCGGGTCAAAACACGTGTCAACCCGGATAACGTGTTCAGGAACGAAAAAAGCATTCCTGTCTTAGAGAAATTCCTTGATGAGAAAAGGATGGGAGATTTAAATTCATAATTGTAGTTAATTTATATAAATATGTTTGGATATGAAACAATTTGATTAAATTGTTATACGATGGACAATAATATTATTGAGTGGATAATATATAGTTTATGGGTTGGGAGATTTTTGTTGAATCTTTTTTCGTGGAATATGAAATAATTTTTGAAACATTTTTTTTTTTTTTTTTGAATCTTCGTTGCTACTCTAGTCAATTTACAAATAATTTATGAAACATTTTTTTTTCCTCTCTTCATGATCATTGATTTTGTGTGGATTTTTAAGATAAATATGATAATGGTAATAACTTTTTATTTTTTATCACCTTTTTTTTCATATAATAATATATCAAATAATCATCCATCGACGATCAACAATTTAACATTCATGTTGAACATATATAAAAAAAAAATAAACACTTGTTATAAAAATTAACGTATCTATTAATACTGATTGTAAATTAATAAAATTATATGTCAATATATGAATATAATTTTAAATCTAAACAACAATGCAATACTTGTTATAAATATTTAAAGTTAAATAAATAATTTATCTTTTTCACTATATATATATTTTTTAATTTAGATGCAGATAAATATTTAAAATTATATGCATTTTAACGCAAATAAACAAATTTCCCATCGCCCTTACTGAAAGGCACGAGAAAATACGTGAGTGTGTGGAGCAGGCAGAACCGGAATCTCTTACGCATCTCCCGTCGGCAGACGGCGATCCGCAGCCGTCACGGCGAACTCAGTGTCACAGTAAAAGCTCCAAAGAGGTTAGTTCATAGGCCCACTTCCTTATCGTCTAGCCCCAATCGCCCAAATCTAATCCCTAATACCTTGTGAAGTAATTTTTTTTTTTTTTTTAAATTGTAATGGTAACTTGAGAGCTAAAGGATTAGGGACACTCTTGTTAATTTTTGATTATTTAAATCATTGGATGATTAATTGCTTCGGTGAGATTGTGAAATTGTGGTGCAATTTTTTTTTTTTTCTTCCTGATTTATCTTTTAGTTTTGTGTAATTTGCATATGATTTAGAAGTTTCAGATCGAAATGCTTTGACGATAAATCGATTAAATTTGAAAGAACTATGCACCATACCTCGAAGGACTTGTTGAATCGTGTGCAAGATTTTCAGTTATCACTTTTCAGGTTCTCATACTGTTCTGTGTTGTGATAATAGATCAAAATTCAGTAACAACCTTAAATACTCCTTTTTTTTGCGGTTGATCTGTCAGTCGGATATCGAGTTTAATGCATTTGAAAGCAGTTTTGAATGAAATTCCTGTGTTTCACATTTTTGCAGTAGTCACACATGGACAACATAGTTGAATCCTTGAACAGCGCATATCAAGAGTTCATATTGGCAGCCGCCAGCACCTTAGAGGCAAAAGAAACTTCCGGCGGGCAGAAGACTCCGGCCACCGATGCTGCCCTCGAAAACTTCAAGCAACGTTGGGAGCTCTTTCGAGTTGCGTGTGATCAAGCCGAGGAATTTGTTGAGTCCGTCAAGCAGAGAATAGGGTCTGAGTGTCTTGTCGACGAGGCCACGGGCCCTATCATTAATAAGCCGGGCCAGCCCAGCTCGAGTGGTCTCCCGCCCATTAGTGCCGTACGTTTGGAGCAGATGAGCAAAGCCGTTAGGTGTCTGGTGATCGAATTGCAGCAAGGGTCGGGAGCTGGAGGCGGCTCGGGTCATCCCAGCTCGAATGCCCCTTTTGATGCTCGGTTTACTGAGGATGCTGCTCAATAGGTATGTTTTGTGTTCCCATACTTTAGTATTTAGTTTAAGAAAATATACAAATGTTTGTCCTTGGAGTTTGGCTTGATTAACCAATAAAATAAAAATAGAAAAACAAGAAAGCTGAGAATGAAAGAAAGAAAAAATGCGCGTCACTCTGTAAATTTACAAAAAATTGAAATTCAGGTGGATACATAATGCATCTGATGTTAGAGCAGATAGTGGAGAATATTTCTTACAGTTGTGTCCCTAATTTTTTCTGAGCACTACAAATAAGTTCGACTATTGAATTCCTCTGTTTTTTTAAATACTACCAAATAAGAATAACCAAGTGAAGTTGCTGTTGCTCGTAACAAAAATTTGAAGTGTGAAATTGCGATATATTTGATGGCATCTATGGTTTCCATCGGGGTTAAGAACAGTTGGGACAAACTGTGGCATATAATCAAACCTCAAGGGTGGTTTTTGTTGGCTGCGTATAGTTTCTAAAGTTGCTAACGTTCGCAATCCTCAAGGCCAGGTTTGGAATTTTATTCTGTTGGTTAATGGTTTCTAAGTGCCAAAGCCATGATGGATGCAAAATGGGATTTTTTATCATGGCAAAAGCTCCAAAAGTGAGATGTGCACATATTCATGATTTGAGTTATCGTTTGGTAGATAATATGAGGAAGGAATTTGAATTATACAGAGTCAGGATCTCTGGACAGTGTAGTTCGGAGACAAATAAAACTGATTAGAGACTAGTGATTGTTGTTCAAATAGCTTTTGTTAATTTGTACTATAAAAGGTTGTTCAAACGACACTTGTTAATTTGTACTAGAACAGGGTTGAGTTTGTGTTTAATGTTTCGGGAAACATTAGGTTGGGCATTGGTGAATTTCAATTATCACTATAATCAACCCACACTAACATGACAATAACTGGAGTTTTAGTTTTATATGATTATTATAAACCATATGTTCCCATATCTACTTTTCTATGGCTTTCTACTCAACGCAATAACATTGTATGATCTTAGTGCTCGATGTTGTTTTGACGGCGAGCAAAATTGCCCTAATTTCTTAGATAAATTTCATGTGAAAAATCTGTTTTTTTTTTGTTTTTTTTTTGTTTTTTGTGCTTATGGACATCGTCAATCCTCTAAAGCAGGATTCGTGTTTTAAGCCTTATCACTTAATCTCCACTTGTTTCAGCATTATCCGAAAACGAGAAAAGTAAAAGTGTTAGTTAACTTATGCCTTCTGTTGTTTATCTTTGCAGGCAATTCTCTGTGAGTATCAGTCTACTAGTTGTGTTGTTACGAAGATGAAAGACAAGGATCTGGCAAATTGCAAAGTTTTAAAGACCAAGGTATTTTACTTCAGGCCAAAAAAAAAAAAAAAAAAAAAAAAGGGAAAAAAGGATCTAGTGTAGGGTGAGTATTTTAAATAAAGTTCTTCTTTAGCCTTGGTAGTTATTGAGGAGGTCTTCATTTCATAGGCACACGCTGGCACGCGCAGTGTGTGTTCGGCATATAGTTTGATGTTGCAGCTATACGACCAATATCCATTGAGGATTATTTTAGGTTTAATTAAATATATTACACTCTGATGTTCATCGTAATTCTAGGATAATGGACGAATTTGATTTTATGTTATGTCAAGGTTCAAGCATGGTGAATATAGGCTCATATGATTCACAATGAGGCTGTTGCAGATTTTTGGTATGTGTTATGTTAGGCGTCTTCTTCTTTGATGAGGTTTCCAAAACCGTGATTTTGTTTGTAAAATTTAACATGGGGTAGTCACATGTTTCATTCCTGGCGAATTTGAGCAGATTAGACATGGCCACGGGTCGACTTGGCCACGGGTCGACTGCTCCGGTCAAGCCGTTGACTGCGGGCCTTGAACCGGCCCGTGGTTTTACCCGGCATGTTCAGGTTCACAAAATATTAATTTTGTGAACCGTTAGTTCAAGCTTACTGTAACAACAAATTTTATGGAAGACATAAAATTTCTGTACAACTTGATTTTATTTCGATCAAATGATATTGCGGGTACAATCTCTATTTATCTCATCTGATTTTTCTCTTCATGAATTTGGGATTGAGACATTCAAAGATGGATTTCTCCTTCGGGCTTGGTTTTGAATTTCTCTAACATTAATTTGGGGGTCGAATGGCTTATTATCTTATTAAATGTTAGGCTTGACTTGATTGAATATGACTTCTTGGAAGACTTGATTCTTTGATCTTCTTGAAAGAGGGACTCTGACTTGAATAACGTTGATTCGGGGGCTTGATAGTTTTTTCCCGGATCAAACGCTATGTTGGTTGAACTCTCAACGAACGCAGCTTGAATGTCGCTTGAACGTCGTTGATATTCTTGGATTGACTTGAGAAGCGTGAAAGTCGTCTCTTTACTTCTTGAGGAAGACCCGCCACCTCTTTTTCTTCTTCTTGGCCATCTTATTCATTGAATGGCTTCGGGTGGTTCTTCAAGAACTTCTTCAAATCTTCAAGAGGATTCTTCAGAACTCTTTACTTCTTGAGGAAGACCCGCCGCCTCTTTTTCTTTGGGTGGTTCTTCAAGAACTTTTTCAAATCTTTAAGAGAGTTCTTGAGAACTCTTGAATTTTGAGACTTTAATATTTGAGATGTGTTTGATATTTTTGAGGTGTTTGAGGTGTGATTTGTGGGATTGAGGAGAGCCCTATTTATAGATGTAGGAGAGTCTTAGAAAAGAAGACATCAATTTGATTGGTCCTTATATAATCTCTTTTCTTACTTATCCTAAGATTTGATATAATCTTTTTCCTTATCCTAAGATTTGACTTGGTGGGCAAGAAACAATTACTTTATTAATTAAATATCTTATTTATCTCAGATTTATGTCCAAAAATAAATAAAGACATTACTTAATAATATATTAAAATTTCGATGTCTACACTTACCATCATCGGTTCCAGTTGAGGGTTGACCAGGAACCGGCCAGGAGGCCAATATATATTTTTTAGCGAAATTTCATGTTTCTTTTTTTAAATTTTCGATTCTGGGGCCTTCGATTCTCCGTTAGATCAAATGTGGACTATTGGGCGTTTTCTACTGTTGGGATCTAATAAACTGTCCGTTTCTTTTTCTTTCTTTTTTTTTTTTTAAAGTACAATTTTTAATGGTCATTTTTTGAGAAAATTACTCCCCTACAAATGGTTTGACAAATAATATTAAAAATACAAAATGCTAAACTTTTCATCACAAATACGATTGAGATTTAATAACTCAAGGCA